ATCCTCTAGTAGATGGTTCCAGAAGAGCTCGTGGGTTTAAGTTGTTTTTTAAAAGCCTTAGTACTTAGGTGACAGAGATAAAATCCTTGGTTCATAATTTACTTTCTTTGAATTTCTTGAAAATGCCACTCCATTATTACCGTTTTTTTATGTTGCCTTTCTTTAAGATTTATTTATTTTAGAGAGAGAGCATGAACAGGAGAAGGGGCAGAGAGAGAGGGACAGCGAGAGAAGCAGATTCCCCGCTAAGCACGGAGCCCAATGCGGGACTTGACCCCAGGACCCCAAGATCATGACCTGAGCCGAGATAAAGAGTCGGACACTTAACCAACTGAGCCACCCAGGTGCCCCTTATATTGCTTTTGAGAAATCTATTCCAGTCTAGTTCACCGGCCTTGGAAGTTTGGGGCTCCTGTGTGTGCACCCTGAGGATTTTTCCTTTATTTTCAAAATCTAAGAGTTTTACTAAGATATTTCTCAGAATTGATTTCATTGAGGGTCACTTTTCTCAGGTACTTGGTGGGCCCTTTTAATGTGTAGATTTAGGTCTTCCTTTATTTCCAGGAAGTTTTCTAGTATAAAAGTTTTAAATATTAGGTTTGTCCTATTGGAGTGTTTTCTTCATAAGGAGCTCCAGTGATATGTAGTTAGATGGTCTTCCCTTCTTTTTTTTTTTAAAGATTTTATTTATTTATTTATTTGAGAGAGAGAGAAACAGCATGAGAGGGGGGAGGGTCAGAGGGAGAAGCAGGCTCCCCACCGAGCCGGGAGCCCGATGCGGGACTCGATCCCAGGACTCCGGGATCATGACCTGAGCCGAAGGCAGTCGCTTAACCAACTGAGCCACCCAGGCGCCCTAGATGGTCTTCCCTTCTATTTCAACCCCTTTCTCTCTGATCATTTCCCCTAGTTTATTTCACTTGCGTTCCCTTGAATATTTAAAAATAATAATTGAGTAAAGCATAATTTTATTTAAATTTATTTTTTATTTTATAATTCAGTCTCTATTTCTGATATAATTTTGCCTTTTTCTTCTATTTCTATCAGAGCTTAATCACTCCTGGTTTTTTAGTGTTTTGTCTCATTTCTGTTTTTAGTGTTTGATATCTGTCTCAGGCTCTATTTTGAATGCTTGTTCGACAATATTTAAAGTTCATTTACCTATTTTTTTTAGTACTCTGTACATCCAATGTGGGGCTCAAACTCATGACCCTGAGAGCAAGCATCACACTGTCTTCTGACTGAGCCAGCCAGGTGCCCTATTTGACAATATTTAATTCAGAGTGGAGGCTTCTGTTTTCTTGTGCTTCATAGCTGTTTTTTTGGGGGGGGAGGGGTCTTTTATTTTCAATCACTAAAGTCTCTACAGTTTCATTTTCTGTTTTCATCTTATGATAGTTTATGTAGATGAAGATAGCTCACACCTTTGTATTTTGTGGATTGAGTGGCTTACAGATTCTCAGTTCAAAATCACCCTCTTTTTGGGAGATAGTGGGGAAGGGGCTATGTGTCCTTCAGTGTTTGAGTTTTCTCTTGTCTTAGAAGATTGTAAGTTTCCCCGTGTTGCTTCTTCCCCCTTTACCGTAGTATTCCGGAAGGCTCCTTTCTTTTTCTTCTTTCTGCCCATTTCTCCTCAGAAGTGTTGCCTTTCCAAGATTGCCTCCTGTCTCGTGTACACTAGTAAGTCCCTTCCTTGTAGTCCGCTCTGGTCTACCAGGACTTTATTTATTTTTCCAGAATTTTGACACTTCCAGCGGTCTGTCTTAGGGTTATTAGAGTTCAGTCTTAAGCCTTTGGTTTTCCTCTTGCTTCTGCTCTATTTGCCCCACAACCCTGCCTTGCCCTCTGCAAAGGGTTAGAGAGAGAGCTTGGGAAATGTCTTTGCTGGAAATTGAAGTTTGATTTGTTTTATATCTTCTAGTTATTTGAAGTCATGGAATTTGTGTGGTGTTATTCTTATTATTGATTTATATAGTTTGGGAGGATGGTTGAGAGATCTCAGCATACAGAGTCACCATTACCTCAGCGTCCCGGAAGTGTTTACTTTTTTGTTGCTGGCATCCTGATTCTAGAATGCATGCTGCATTAAAACAAGAACCATCTTTGTTTATTTTCTGCTCTGTCTCTATTGCTAGTACATAGAAGATGCTTGGTAAATGTTGAATGTTTCTTCTTCAAAATTTGCGTGTGTGTCTTTGGCCCATTTTTCTCTTGAATTACTAATACTTTTGATGATTTCTGTGTCCTGTTACATATGAAGGTTGATGATCTAATAGGGCACTATATCTTGCTTGTAACGGCATAACATGTGAATCAGATGTCAAAGATAATTTTTCTGTAACTTTTATTTAGATTAAAAATGCACGATTTAAACTTACAGAAAATGAGCCTGATCTGGTCCCATTGATGATGGTAATGTGTAAATTTTTTTTAATCACTCTAGTGTTGAGGCTCCATATCTGACAAACACAGAGCATGACCTTCTACCCACTAAGATTTTATACTTGCAATTATTGCCCTTTAAAGCACTCGAAAGGGAGTTAGCTTCTGGCCTCCATTGCTTTATCAGGACTGAACCAGGTCTCTGGATGCCCCTGGCACATGCTTACATGTCAGTGAAGGAGAAGAGGAAACTGGTAGCACACACGCGGTTAGAAGCAGAAGAATGTGTTCGGAGGGAGAAGGAGAGGCTTGGAAAATGCGGACATAAGGCCCACTACTAGGAAGTTCCCACCTGCCAGGGCTCCCGTTGCCTTGTGTTGGCCCGTGTGCACTGGCTTGGCCAGTCTTGCTCTATCTAAGATTATATTCTGTGCCTCAGAATAGGCCAGCACCATCAGCACTGTATTGGATCCCTTTTGTTATCTGACTCCTAAAATTCCTCCAATCAGAGGAGTGGCTGAGAGTATGACACTCTGTCTAGAGAGAACAATGCGATTTTAATAGCTGAGGAAATTTGGTGTTTTGCATGCTTCCATTGAAAATGTTTGCATGTTTCACTGATTGGCAAGGAGAACAAGGAAGCCTTTCATTTTAAGGAAGGCTTCAGAGGGCATACTGGATGGTGCCTGGTGAAATGGGTGTTTTCTAGTGAATGACATTTGGTCTATTTTTGTAGTTGGAAACATGCTACTCTTAAGCTTATTGTCGAAGCAGGCAAGAGAGCATGCTGTGCAATCATGAGTGGAATTTTTACATTTGACCCCAGGGGCTGTTTTCTCCCTCCTAGTTTGGAGCCTCCATGAATATGGCTTCTGAATTTATAAGCATTTTATTGGTTTCAGATCCTGCTCTCCATTTATTTATCTTCACTTTGTGGATTATTCAGAGGGAAGAGATTAGAAACATACCTGGGAAACATCCAACACTAAATGCTTTAATATTAGATTGGGATTTCTTAAATTCCTCATTTATTACTCATTAGAGCTGCTGTATTCCTTTCTAGTATTTTCCCAGGTTCTTGTGGCTCCTCCGTGGCATTCTTGCTGAAGCCTTACTCTTAGTTATTTCTGTCAAAGCGAGTGAACATTTCTTTATGTTCAGAATCCTAGGTCAGGGTTACTTTCTTAGATGTATTCAAGCCAATTTCCCAATTATTTTTCTCAGAAGTTTACAATTTTTACAGGTGTTGTAAGAAAAATAAATTTTGGAAAAAAGTACCCATAATCCTAACAACAGCAGCTCTTTCCTATTTGTACAGTAATTTACAGTGTTTGTCCCCATGAATACCAGTGTTTGCCCGTTTGCACTGTGTGCTTCATATTTGGGGTTTTTTCTCATTTAACATTTACCAGATTGTCTTTCAAAAATTAAAAAAAAAAAAAAAGTGTTCTGCCATCCATTAGACTCGATAGAATTTTTTACGAGATTTACATTTAAACCATGTATTAACATTTGAAACATAATATTTTCTGAGGCTGATTCATATTGTATTACTAACACCAAAATATTGTCATTGTCCCATATAATTGACATATGTGAATGTAATTTGTGTCAATCATTTAATTCCTCTCAGAGGTAAAAATGAGCTTTCCAGAAAGGATATATAACTTTCAACTAATTGCTTATCTGAATACCTTGTTTAAGTGTTTAAAGTTTCTGCTCTTCTTCTCAGTTTGAATTTTTAACCGAAATTAAAACTCTAGGTCACTAGACCATTTCATTTTTTTAGAATTACTTATTATTATATTTGTCATGTTTAGAAACATTTTTAGAACAATAATAACTTCTAATTAAGTATATTAGACTTGTTTTTTTAAAAAAATAATTATTTTTGTCATGAACTTTTACTTGCCTTTTGTCATTTTTTTTTTTCTTTTCTTTCCATGATTTGCAGTATGTTGGAACTGTCAGCTGTATAATTCTCTTATATGTACGCTTATTGTAGATCTTGACTGAGACTGTAGATCTTGACTCAGTTTTTAGCCACTGAGCTACTTCTCCGGCCACAAGCACTCATTTGGACGGTGAGGCAAAACAAAGAATAGTAATTAACATATTCAGAGGATCCTGATACCTCGTGTTAGAGAGCTGTTGTCTTCTCACGGGTCTTTCTCCAGAATTGCCCGTAAGGAGGAAAAAGTATTCTCTTTTTCTCTGCCTGCTTTCAGCTGAGATTGCTACCAGTTGGTTGTGCATTAGGGAAAAAGAGGTGGGCCGAAATTGAATTGAGATGTAGCTAATCCACAAAATGGATCTTTAATCCTCTTCGGTATTTGAAATGCCCAGAGTGTTTGCCTGGCAGGAAGTAAGCATTCAGGAAGTTTCTGTTGAGTTGGATAGATGGATTCATGAACATGCCTGTCTCGAAAACCACATGGATTTCTCAGAGGGCAGAATTCTAAAAATCTCCGTAAAGTGTGTTAACTTGAGATTCAGAAGCTCATCTTCCTGTGTGTCAAACTGCATTAACTACCACAATATTAGTAATAATGAAAGTTGTATCGTTTTCTAAGTCGTGAACTGACATGTGTATATATATCACACTTTTGTTTCTAAAGGAAGTAGAGATTCGGAACAAAGACCTGGAGGGACAGCTGTCTGACTTAGAGCAACGTCTGGAGAAAAGTCAAAATGAACAAGAAGCTTTTCGCAATAACCTGAAGACACTCTTAGAAATTCTTGATGGAAAAATATTTGAACTAACGGAATTACGAGATAACTTGGCCAAGCTACTAGAATGCAGCTAAGGAAAGTTAAATTTCAGTGCCAATTGATTAAAAAATACACTGTCTCTCTTCATAGGACTGTTTGGGCTCTGCATCAAGATCGCACATAAAATTTGAATATCACTCCTCCTCCAGGAGGATGATCTTTTGAAAATTGGAATTGTATATTTCAGTGTAAATTTTAGAATTCAGCTCGTAGCTAGTTGGGGAAAAAAGAGATGAAAAACTTGAACTACAAATTACCTCCATGTATATTATTGGCCATAGTTAACTAGAAAGTTATAAATAGACACTTAATGCAATCTTTTTTTTCTGATATTAGCCAATGGGAGAATTAACAATGTCTGGGTCACATCCCCTTTTTGTGTTCAACACAGTGAAGGTTATCTGCTTTTTAAATTAATTTATTTATGATATCTAAAGCTGTGTTTTGTGCAAAAACTTAGTGATGAAAGCCCTGTCTTCTGTTGTAATCTGAATAATTTCTCAGGATATTTTTGCACTGCTGAGAAGCAGCGCCATTACCAATTAATTCTTGCCAGGAGTGAGAGAGAGCTGCATCTTTAATTGAAACATACTTACTAGAACTGGGTGTATAGAGTTCTTCCCTTTTTTTATACTGGAAGATATTTCACTCGGTGACCACTCTGGTACACTCTGGTGTTCTTGAATCTTGTCTGCTGTATAGTTTACTTTTCCATATCGATTCCGTGTATTTATGAGAAGATATTGTCTCCCATTTTATTACACATTTTAAAGCCAACTAACGAAGGCAGCTGAGTCCCTCAGAAATTTTTCTTTTTAAATTTCTAATAAATTTGACACACAGTACTGAAATACAGCAGCCCGTCATCGACGGTCTGGCCTAGCAATGTTAAGTATATTTACAGAATATGCAGTTACATTTATTTATATATTTTGCAAGAAATCTTTTCTGAATGATCAATGCATTTCAATTTACAACTAATAATGGCTATTGGGGAACTGTTTATTATAGATCATTTTAAGGTATATAGCAATTTTAAAGGGGATCCATTTCCATCAAACAGCCGATCAGAGGACTATTGGGATTGGAGCCGTGTACTCTGTCTGGGTCTTCACATCAACCACATCTCTAGTCAAACCTCACAAGGCAATATTCTGAACTGTTAACTAGGTGTTTCAAACAGGAATTCAATTCAATAGGCTCTTCTCAATGAACAAGTTTTAATGTTGTTTTGATGTAATTTTAAAAGACTTTTAGCAAACATGCATTTCTTTATATATTTCTTTTAAGAAGCTATTTTAAAAGTAAGCCAAGTGCTGTCTAGTCTGCTTATGGAGTTAGGGATTGCATCAGAGTCCATATATTCTCGCTGTACAATGCCTGTGATGTTGAGGAGGGTTCTTTTTTAAAGTGTATGCTTGAGCATCTGACTCTGTGGAGTCTGCAAATGCACTGACTTTGTTTGTACCCCAAAACGATGGAATTGTTAAGTACAAAATTAAGCTAATGAATCAGTTTGTAACCATTTTTTCACTCACAAACAGCAACTCAACACTAGACAATTTTGTTTTATATATGTATGTGTATGTATGTAAATACATACATCTTAATTTATATTAGAGTGAAAAATAAATGGTTTGTTTCTAAAGTTAGTTTCTAAAGTGAGTTTTCAGGTGTCTCTGAAAAGTTTCTATCAGACACTTAATCATCGTGTATTCTATGTGCTGTGACATCATGTAAGTTACCTCCATCTATTTTAGGATCTTTTCCTCACCTATTTATTATAGGGAGGGTAATTTAGGTACACAAGCTCAGAGCTGAGATATTTCTCTGATAAATCAGGTAATAAAATTTATTTGATTGATGGAATTTTGAAGTAGATGTGATTTTATCCATCAGTTTCTGAGTATCTGCTGAGTAACAAAGAGCACCAGATTTTAATTTAAATAGGGGATTTAACACTAGGGATCAGGGAATTTAGTTACGAAGAGTTAAAAATTTAAAAAAAAACAGTGTAAGCTGTTGAAATGGTAAGTGAATTATTTTAATGATGTAATAAGATATTTTTAAATTTTGACATAGTTGTCATTTAATGGGAAAGTAACTCACCAATATGTCTCCACTTGAATTGTATTGATAGGTGAGACGTGTGTAATTCAATATATACATATACCCGTATGTATATGCAGAAAATTATTTTTAATATTTTCCTACTGATTAAGAAATTTAAAATTGGAAATTTTGTGAGTTTTTTCCTCGTCCAATAGGGCCTAATTTTTTTCATTTTTTAGTGATTTAACAATTTGAGGGCTGCACCTTTAAATTCCCAGAGTGTCATTAGACGTGTACAGTATATGGGATAAGGGTGGACACAAGTGCACATATAAATAAAATCTTAAGACTATTTTAAATATTCATTTATAGTAGGAGAGTATCTAGAAATCATCATCTACAAGTCATAATTAGGTTGTGTGTCTACTATAGTTTTCTCCATTTCTGTATTATATAAATAAAAGTTTGCCTATTAAAATCTGATTTTTCCCAGAGACAAGTATTATATAATGTATCTATATTTAGATCCAACTGTGGTAATATATTTATCAGAAAATGATGCTGGGGACTGTAGCCTGAACATGTGGACTTTAAGTGACACAGACAAGGAGAGCAGAGATCGATCCCATTGTGTATAAGTTATTCTCTGATAATTATGAATTCTTGTACAAAAACCTGAAAAAAAAAAAAGGAAAAAGAAAAATACAGTTTTTATTTTGAAATATATTTGTTGTTCTCTGGAGAATGTACTTTATCTTTTTTTCCTTCAGTCTTTTCCAGATACTTTTGAAAAGCATTTAAGTGATGACAGCATTGCTTAACTTTTTTTACAGGTGCTACTGGATTTCGCATTAGTGTGTTCTGTTGTGAAATCCTGACTTTGACATAAAAGGTTTTATACGTATTTCCCTGCCTGGAAAATTAGTTTTTGTTTCTCCTCTCTCTCCTTCTCTCCGCCTTTCTCTCTCTCTCTCTCTCTTTTTCCTCCTTTTCTTTCTGCAGATTAAAAACAGTGCATGAAGTTGCATCCCTCCTTGTCCCTCTAGAAGAACTTCAGCACCGTCAGAATGTAAGGTTTTGCTGTCATTGAACTGCTGGAAAGCAGTTAGAGGAAAAACTTGCAGGGTTTTTTCAAGTGGAAATAAAAGGGACGCTCAAAATTAAACCACCACCTTTGAAAACTCATTTTTTTGCCCCATTCAAGAATGTGGACGGTCTTGTGTCACTCATGTCCTTCTGTGGTTTCGTTTCACTGCGGAGTGTGCAGCTCAGCTACTCTCCTCCCGCAGACCCGATCTTCTGTCCGTTCTGGAATGCGAGGCTGGCCGCAGGGAGAATTGGTTGGGTGGCAGTGTTGTGTTGACTTTTTTAAGAAATCCTGTTGTTTATTTGGTATCACATGATTTTACCATTCCTGATAGTCTGTGCTTGAAGTCATGAAATAGTCTTCATCGCATTTTTGTCTTCTGTACATTTGGCATTTATGAGGTAAATTAATTTATGGAAAATCTAAGGAAAACTTTCAGGTAAGAAGTAGTTAAGAATGACACATTAAAAAATTTTTTTTCAAGTAGGATACTGTGCCATAATTATTGAGAAGATAATTTTCATGTGAGAGAATATTTTTTAAATAACTAGAAAAGGATCATGTTGGAAAGGAAACAGCTGAATCGTTCACCTTACTTTTATTTGAGAAAGTGCATTTTTTTCCAATGTAAAATTGGACCTTAAATTTTGATAACAGTTTTTTTTAACGGGAAACTGATAATATATCAATGTCACAGAAATACAAGCATTGTTAATGAATTAAAGAAACGGCTTTTGGTTAGTAAAATAGCTAACAATTTTATCCAAGAAAAAAAACTCAAAAACTCAGCACTATACTGCCTACTGATTTCTGCTTAGTACACTAGATAGAAAAGAAACACTCTTTTTACCCAAAACAGGTGACCCGGGAAGAGAAATTGCATCTGGACTAGAATAGAATGCAAAAGGCCACGAGCTCCCAGTAGATTTCCAGTCAATTCTCTGACCTCCTTAGGTCCCTCCTGTCCTTTGCATGAAAGGACACATACTAGTGATGGCAAGAGCCAATCTGGAGGAGAAGAGGATGTTTTTTGTGGAAGCAGGGCCAGCAAAGAGTGGGTACACGCTCACGTCAGTCTTTATGGAAGACACTTCAGGCTAGCCAAAGACACCTGTTGCTTTCCACTAAACAAGTTGGGATTGCCTTAGTGAATTTTAAAGGCTTTCAGGAGATCTTGTCATTTTATCTTGTCAGGATTTATGACCTAATATAAGACACCTGACATTTGGAACTCACCATTCTGTGGAATTCTGACATATTTTTGCCAGTTACTTTCACATCAGATCTACCCAAGGATAGAAATATTACTGTGCTTTCTCCTAATAACACCAAATTAAGATGATAATGAGTGCCTAATAGATACAAAACTAAGCCCACTTCTGTACCACAGGAAAACATCTTTTGTGGGTATTTTTTCTATCAACATTCATGGTTTTGTCTTGTTAGCTGTGATTTATAACTGTGTTATTATATAGGCATCTCTAGAAGTCCTAGCTGTATGACTCACGTATAGGACTTGATTGTTACACCTTGAATGGAATGTGTGTTTCATGAAACATGGCCAGAGAGCAGACCCATTTGGAGGAAATGCTTTCTCAACAACTTCAGTGTGAAATGGAACAGAAAGGAGTGTTTGTTGAATCTGTGCTATGTGACAGGCTCTGTACTAACTGACATTTCATCTCTACGTATAGGGGCCCTTGCAGGGGTGTTCCTTTGGAAGGGGGAGGAGGGAAAGGAAAGGAAGAGGTCAAATGATTGCACCCGCTCTGTTGCCACAGTGATCAGTCTGGTCATCAAGTACGCCAGTCAAAAGGTGGAGATCTTGCCCATGTATCTGGTACAGTTTTTCCCTCCAGCTTGACTGCCTTGCTCCTAGAATTATCTCTGTTAGGGTACTTCTTAATTACCTATTTTATATTTGCTCTTCTTGAACTTCTTCCTTCAGCCTCCTTTGGTGTTTATAATGCTTGTTATCATTCAGTTGCAAATTGTACTTTGTTTGCAGGTCATATTTATGCAATGTATTTTAGTCCCAATTTTTTTTGAACTTACAAACTTCAGATAATCCAAGGACAGTGGGTTTCTTACGCAGAGTTCCAGTCAATAAAATTTAAGTAGGAAATTATTTATAAAGGCCTTGGGAAGATCATTCATCTCTTAAATTCCCTAGTGAAATAAGCTGTAAACCTGTAAAACTCATCCTCCAAGACGAAACCGTAGTTGAGCAGGATGTGGGTTTTGCAGTCAGTGTTGAGTGACTTTGTGGTCCACTGTGGTTCCATAGAAGGTAAGGCCTCTCCACATTGATCACGTCATTAGATCAGCTGCAGAACTCTCTCATGGCCTGATCTTTAGATAGGCGATACCCCTCTTTTAGGTGGAATCATACAATATTTGTCTTTTTTTGTCTGGCTTATTTCTCTTAGCATAATGTTTTCAAGGTTTATCTGTATTGCAGCATATATCAGAATTTCACTCCTTTTCAATGCTGAATGTTACTCCATCGTATGGATGTACCACATTTTATTTATCAGGTCATTTGTTAATGGACTCCAGAGTCATTTCTCCCTTTTGGCAGTTGTGAATAATTTTTCGATGATCCTTCATGTACAGGTATTTTATGGGCCCTGCTTTCATTTATTTGAGGATACATCCACGAGTGGAATTGCTGGATCATATGGTAACTTTATGTTTAACTTTTTGAGGAAGGATTGGGTTTCAATTGGGTTAATTTAAAAGACAGAGCAGAATGCCATCTCACTAGGAATCCAGTTGTGGGGCCGGTGTTTGTTAACAGACCTGTAAGTGATCCAAGGGTATCTAATAGATCTTAGGCCTTTTACTCTCTTACCTAAAATATTTATTGAGCACAGGCCATGTCCCAGACGCCATTTTGCAATAGAGACCAGAGAGAGAAGCTTAAAATCTAATGTAGGGTACAGATGGTTACTTCACAGTACCTAAATGCTACCCTAGAAGAGGACACTAGAATGAGGGAGCCCAGAGGGAAGAGGAGTTTTCAGGTCTTTCCCAGAAGAGTGAAGAGCTTGCTGGTTGAAGAAGGGGTGAAATTTCAGAGAATTGAGAGTGTGTCATGTGCAAAGGTCCAGAGAAATGAAAGCATTGAGACATTTAGAAAATTAGGCTGGGTGAGTGCACTGAAACATAGGATATTGGGGAGGAGTATAGCAAAAGATGGCGGTAGAGAAGTAGGCAAAGGGTAGATCAATAAAGTCTTGTTAAGTCATAGGGAAGACTTGGGTTTGTTTTTTTTTTTTTTTTTTTTTTTTTTGAAGATTTGGGTTTTATTCTGAAGGGAATGCAGAGATAGTGAAGAAGTTTTTGTACAGAAGTGACGTAATAAAAAGTGTGTTCTGTAAGTCTAGTAGTTATGCAAATCATGGTAGTCTCTCTTAAAAGGCTGCCTTATGGCAGTGACCCTGGAAATGGAGAAAATGGAATGGATTCAGAGGGTAGGAGGTAGAATCAGTAGGACTTCTTGGCTAATGTAGATGACAAGGAAAAGAATGCAGGATAATGCCTAGATCTCTTGAATTGGCCAGCCAGGTGAACGATCTCATTTACTGAGAGTGAATCCAAGATGGGAAAGGGCTTAGTTTGGGTGTAGGTGAGGAAGAAGGACAAAGCAAGATGAAGGAGAGAGGAGTTAATTTGTTTTGAGTTTAAGGTGCCCCTGGAATAGGCAAATGGAGATGTGAGCTAGATGGAGCTTAGGAGAAAAATGGGAGCTGAAGATCGATATTTGGGAGTTGTCAGCATATGTAATGGTAATGGAGGGCATGAGAATGAGAACACAAGATAAAAATGTCACTTTGGGTCAGGTACAGCACCGAAGTATGTGAAAGAGATGGAACGGCCAAGAGGGATGAGTGGCTAGCTGAAGAGCAGGGACTCATGGAAGCCTAGAAGAGTCTCAAAAAGCCAGATTCCACACAACACAAATAAATCAACAAATGAACTCATGTCTTAAGGCATTGATATTCAAACTGTGTTGAGACCTTTTGTCAATGTGTAGTTTTAAAATATATTTTAACTGGAAAAATTAAAAACCGAACTCAAATTTATGTTGCTTTCTAACAATTTAAACCATTAAAATCCAGCAAACGTGAGTTCCAGGTAAAGCGTTTTTGTACAGATGCCACAATAAGGCCATGTCTGGTAAACTGAAGAGCATCTTGTTATTTCAAGGTGAGTTGTTAAAGAACTCCATTTCTTACTGTGAATTAGGAATTTCTCAATCCTTTGTGACGGAACCACGAAATACAGAAATCGGGTCTTCTACACAAGCTAAGTTCTGTCTTCCATAAACCCAGTCTCAAATGTTTGTTGTTTCTGAAAATAACTTCACTCTTCTTACTGACTTATTGATGAAATTAAATGTCACATATAATGTGTTGGTTTTCCATATAGCTGTCATTTCTAGAAGGTTGCAGGGCCACAGATAAAAGGAGGTTGACACTTTCCTAGCAGAACTTGGCTTATTTTTCGGTGGCTCACCTGCCTCTCCACAAAGTCAAGTTCTAGGGACTTAAATGTATTTTCTGTATCTTTTTAAATGTATTATTTTGATACTTAACCCATCACTAGGACCAGGTGATTTTGTGTTTGTGTTCCCCGTTACTGTGGGAAGTTTAGAGAGTTAACATTTATGTGATCTTAAATGATCTTTACTCTTTTTTTCATATTGATTCATAAATAACTGTGTACAAATTATCTCTGGTAGAAATGATCTTGAGCAATGACAACAACAAAAATACTCTTTGTATTTGGTTTTAGACTGCTGTATGGTATTTGATTTAAGTTAAAATTAGCTTGAATTCCTTGAGTAGACACAACTTGCAGTACTTAGGCAACAAATTAGAACATGTTAGACATTCCAGGAAGAAAAGAGGAGCTACTGGTTTTCAAATTTGGCGCCAAATAACCCATAAAATTTGCAAATCACTTGTGAATTGTCAAATAAACTCTTTTAAACCACTTTTGTTCATATTTTTCTATTTAGTGATTAAGCTTGGTCTCATTTAGCAGAGCCTTTATTTTAGAGTATACTGTGTGCACTGAAATCCTGTATTATATGTAAAAATAGAAACTACAGAATTTCACGGGCTCGTGGCCATCTCAACAGTTCACAACAAATTTTCACAACAGTGCCATGACCTAAATGTTATTGTTATCCCCATTTTATAGATTTTATAGAGTCTGAGATTCAGCAAGATTAAGTGATCGACCAAGACAGAGGCCGCCAAGAAGACAGGCCCCGCCCCATGCCTGCTAATCCTGTGCCCTTCCCACTCCATCATGCCCAAACTGCGAACTGCAGACCTTTTTTAAGAAGACAGGTACAAAAGTTTATCAGTTCCCAATATTTAACAACCTGTCACTTAGAAAAATTGTTCGTTTTCCATTTCACAATGGTATAACATCTTTGAATATTTATCTCCCTGCTCTTTTTTAGAAAAAGAAAAAAAAACTTTATGCTACTCATTCATAGGTGCTTTCTTTTTGCAAACATTCTTAATAGTACAGATAGAAAAGTCACCCTTGATCTTACAGTTCCATCCCTAGAATTTATGTCCTTTTGGCATATTTATATGCATTTATACTTAATATTTATGTGCTTATAGAAATATCTAATTGTTCTGGGAGGAGGGAGTACATAAATTCTATTATCAGTGTGTCTTGTTCTATAATTTGCTGTTTTTTTTACTTATTCTCTTGGGAAGCTCTGTCCAAGTCAGTACATACAGTTTTTAACTCCTTCAGAGTATTCCATCCTATGGATGTATTACACTTAGTTTAAGCATTTCTGTATTGTTTCTTTCCTTTTTCATGCTACCCTCTTCTTCTGACCTTGAGGCTACTTTGTTAAGCACAGTATTAGGGATATTCAAGATTGATTAGTACCCAGTTACCAAAGGCCCCCCCAAGGCCTTTTATATCCCCAGTGAAAATGAACTCTGGATGAATAAATTTCCGTGAAAACTTAAAACTCAAAAAAAAAAAAACTGTTTTAACTGGTCTTGATAAAATTCTTTCTAAATAACCACAAGCAACGCCTAGCAACGTGCTTTGAACATAGTAGTCACTCAATGAATGTGTGGAACGATCAACCGTGCTTACTGCCGTAGAAAAGAGAGGATGCCTGATGTAAACTGTAACCTCTGCTGAGTGACTCGGGCCACCAAATGTTACACAGTGCCACCATCTGCATCTGTCTGAGGACCAGCAGGGGTGTATGGCACAGTTTAAAATGCAAAGTGCTGTGCTTTGTGGCCCTCAAAGTGGGCAGGAAGGGGACAGGACTAAAAAGGAAAGGACAAATAGGAAGATACGTGAACTGTGGTATTTCCAGACAGTGCCTCCCTCTTAGGCCAGTAGCCTTTTGCCCCCTTAATGGTGGCTTAGCTTCTGGGAGCATCCCCTGCCAGTTGGCTGTTGATTCACACATTTTGTGAGCACCTACAATATCACAAGGGACTGAGCTAAGCACTGAGAATGGAAAGGTGATAATACACAGTCCCTACCCTCAAGAAGCTCATAGTCTGGTGAAGGAAGCAGACACATTAACCAGTAGGAACAGTAAGACAGTGACACTGAACGGAGTCATGGCTTCTGGTGAACAAGGCAGAGGAGGGAGTTAGCCAGTGTCCCTGAGGAGGTGGCGTCTTAGCGAAGACGTAAAAGAGGAAGAGATGTCCACTTTGACGAAGATTCAGGTGGATGGTGGAAAGCCTAGAGGCAAAGGCACATCACAAAGAGCCACACGCTCAAATTCAGTCTAACACCCTGGCGGACCCATCCGTGGCTTAGCTGGGGTCCAGAGCAGACGAGGTGGGTGGATTCCAGACTGCGACCTTGTCTCGGGTCCTCGGCTGTTCTGACTTTCCATCAAGGCAGTGGACGGCTGCTGAAACCTTGGAGGGGGGAGGTATCGTGACTAAGATTTACACCTTGAGAGCAAGTAAATCACTCTGGCCACAGTGTCAAGAATAAATAAAAGACCAGGTGAGTGATGGAGGTGCTAACTAACCTCATTGTGGTCATCATTTCATAATAAATACATGTATCAAAACCATCACATTGCACACCTTGAACTTACACAATGTTATATGTAATTATATGTCAATAAAGCTGGGGAAGTGGATTAAAGAAAGGTTCTGCGAGACCAGATTCAGAATTCAAGAGGACTCTTTTTTTTTAATTGTAGCAATCCAGGCAAGAGACAAATAAAAACTGGAAATGATGCCAGAAAATGCTGAACTGAATATGAGAGAGACTCCAGAGGTATCTGATGGCAAGATATTTTGAAATTCTAAATTTCTGCTGCTTTTGTGGCATTTATTGCTTTCCCTTCCTCCCACCCCCAATTCAGGCAACAGCAAAAGCCCTCTATTCCCTGGCCCTCGGGATTGGGTTGGTACTGCAGTAATGAGAGTCCGTTCTCTACTTTTGAATTTCTCCACTCCAATGAGATTAAAAGGAAAAAGAGCTCTCTCATGTGACTAGGAAGAGGAATGGAAGGGAAACAAGATAACAAGAGGGTGGCAAGCATCACTAAGAAGGGGCCCCGAGGACTGCTCCCTCCCTCCAACACACTAGCGTTAGATCAGAGGTTGGGGGACAACTAAGTGACCCCCCAGACAGGATGGGGGATTGAAGACCCATGCCTCAGTTTCCAGGCTTTGCCTACAGAAGAATTCCCCTGGGCCAGGATGATGGAGCAGCCGCTGAGGAGAAATAATGATGTGGTATGGCAGCTAAGAGAGTCCCCAACAATTTTTTTGGTGCCCCAAAGGGCGTACATAGGGAAACATCTGAAAAACTTCCCTGGCCCACCCTCAGCAGGTGCAGAAGCAGCTGACAAGCCAGTGAATTGGGATAGAGGGTCATCTCTGTGGATCTGGGACCAAAGACCAGGTGGACATCACCGTGGATGCTGGTGCAGAAAGCTCTCTGAGTACATGCCAGCCTCAGTAGATCAACATTCAGTAGTGGATGAACACTCAGAACCCAGCATTCTTCCCAGCCCCTTCCATACTTGGACACTCTGTGGAACTTACTTGTAATCCAAGGGAGGAGGTGGTAGAAGGGAAACCTTCATTGGCTGCTTTTATCTGGAAATGACAAGAACAATGCTTCTGCTGCCAGGCAGAATGTATTTTAGAACAAAATTGAGAACAAATTTCTTTGCACATCCTACTTGTGGCCTGGGAACATAGACCCATTACCAGCAGACACTGCAGGATTTGGCAAGTGTCTGGAGGGCTGCTAGGTTTCCAGATTTGGTGTAAGAAGGATAAGTTCTGTTTTGGACACAGTGAGTTTGAAGTACTTCCCCAGCGTGTAGGCTGGAGAAATAAATCTGGAAGTTACCAGAAAACAGGTTGTTGGTGAAGCCATAGGCAGATGAACTCAAATAGAGGGTAAAGAGAACAGGCCCAGAGCCCTAGAAAGCCCTGACATTTAGAAGGGTATGCAGAGAAAATAAAGTTAGGGAAGAGCCTGTGAAGAATTGTCCAAAGTGACCTAGAGAAGAACTAGCAGGTGACACCAGATAATCAAATTGATAGCTATTTAATTTTATACTGAATGGGATCCAGCCCTAACATAGTTCATGGTGTAAACTAAAATTCTTTGTGACATCTCTTTTCCTTATTGACCAGGACATCTGCCTCATCTCCAGACTTGAGGCCATGTTCTGGTTTCCTGAGGATTCTGGGATTCTGACAACCAGGGCCCAATTTAACCTTACTTAGCTCCATAGTGTTCCTGCAAAGTAAATGGAAGTTCATGTGCACAGGGAACACTGCTGCAGGTTATGTCAATGTACTACTGGGATCTTGGGGGGTTTTTTGTTGTTGGTTGGGGTTTTTTTTTTTTCTGGTTTTGGTTTTGTTTTGTTTTTGGCTATATAACCCACTTTTTCAAGAAAAGATCTCCATCACAAATTGTTTTCAGAGATTAAGACTAAATAAATTTGTTTTTTCGGGCCTGTGCTGCTTATTTCTGGGCAATGACAACTACATAAATCCATCATTCCCTTATCACCCTGGCTGCTAGGAAGCTCAAAACCAGGTTTTAGGCTTAATTGCTATTGTGTTCCTCAGCTAGGAGTTAGAATTCTAGGTTTTTTCCCTTCCTTTTGGTCCTCATTTTTTTTCCTCTTCTGATTTTTTTTAGAGATATATTTATTTGAGAGAGAGAGAGAGCACGAGCACAGGGAGAGGGAGAAGCAGACTCCCCGCTGAGCGGGGATCCCGATGTAGGGCTCGATCCCAGGACCCTGGGGATCATGACCTGAGCCAAAGGCAGACGCTTAACCCACTGAGCAACCCAGGGCACCCCTCCTGTTCCTATTTTTTGATCAGTAGTTTGGTCTTGTACTGGTCTGATAGTACCTATATTTTTATAATAAGTTACCTCAACTCTTTTGTGAGTTTGGCAAGGAACAGAATAGCTAATTAAAAAATAAAGGATATGTCATCATTTTACAGTTTTTTTTTAACCTGTATCTCTAGGACTGGCCGTTGGTCTATGGTACTAACTGCTGTTGTCATTTTAGTTATAAAGTTCATTCTGATGAATAATTCAGGGAAGCTTCCCCCACTCCACACCCCCGTAGTCAACCCATATATCAACAACAGTAGCAAAAATGGAACATTTGATTGCTTGATGATATAGGGCATTTAAGGAAACAAGGTAACCCTAGTGAAGTGACATCAGCAAGCTTTCCTCTTTTGCATCTCTTAGCTCTATCTATCATGGCCATGTTGGTTAGAAATGTGGCCAGTAATCTTTTAGGTCATTAGTATAAAATTTGCCTTCTCCAAATCCCATGTGAGAGCTGATAACAAGCTTCTTGCTCTGCCTGCTGAAGTATCATGGGCAAGAACTCAACAAAAATTAATGTGTTCCCCTGTACTGTACTTGGTTCATGACTTTGGACATAATTTCACTAGCCACATCTTTGGGACTGT